CAAAAAGCACAACCCAGGGCCTCCCCGGTGGCACAGCGGCTGAGCGCTGGGTTGTGAAGCTGCCCACGGCCTCTGAGGCACCGGTTCCATCCCCGGCTGCTCCCCGGCCACGGGAGGAGACCTCTCCTGCCGCCCGCTGCTCCCCTCAGCAGTGTACTTCGGTCCTTCTGCCTGTTCTGCTCCCCGCTCTGGCTTGGTGAATTCTCTCACCCTCCCACGCTTCTGACTGTACCCAGTGCTTGTATAAATAAATAAATAAATCTTTTAAAAAAATAAACATTCAGTTATACATCTTTATAAACACTATAAATATTAAAAAAAAAAAAAGAAAACTTGGGTTTAGAAACTTAAGCAGCTTGGGCCTCCCTGGTGGCAGGGAGCTATCAAGCTATCGGCAGCCACTGAAGCACAAGTTCGATCCCTGGTCAGGGAGCTGACTCACATGGTGCAGCAAACCTCTCCTGTCTTACCCACTGCTCCCCTCAGCAGTGTATTTCAGTTGATCCACCTGTTCTGTTCCTCACTCTGTCTCTGGCGAATCCTCTCACCCCTACTCCCACCTCTGGCCTACACCCCAGTTCTTCTATGCATAAATAAGTAATGCATGAGGGGCAAGGCCATGGTGCTGACCCTTGGCATAGCTGGGGTCTGATTCCCAACCTTGCCTGACTATTAGAATCACAGTGTTGTTTTTTTTTTTTTAAGATTTATTAATTATGCAAAAAAGGACTGGGGTGCAGGCCAGAAGTGAGGGGGATGAGAGGATTTACCAGAGACAGGGTGGGGAGCAGAATAGGCAGATCCATTGAAATACAGTGCTGAGGGGAGCAGCAGGTAACACAGAAGAGGTCTGCTGTGCCATGTGGGTAGCTCCCTGGCTGGGGATCGAACTCATGTTGCAGTGGCTGCGGACAGCTTCATAGATTGCATCTTAACCCCTTGCGCCACCAGGGAGGCCCCTGAATCACAGTGTTTTTTAACATTTACTGGGAGGCCGGGGCCTCACCCCAGAACAACAAATCAGAATTTGTGGAGATGGGATCTGGGCTTTGATAATATTTGTAAAACTTATAACTTAACTGAGTTCAGTTATAGGTGGAGGAAAAAGCTTGGGATGGGGACTCTGAAAATGTGGTTTCCTGCTTTAGATTCTAGCTCTGTGGCTTAAGACAAGTCACGTGATTTCTGTGGGCCCCAGGGCCCACATCTTTGGGTCAGAGCCAATAAGTACTATGCATACCTCACAGAATTGCCTTGAGGATCCAGTGTATAAGCGCCCTGGGAACTGCGGGATGGGAGGGAGAGTTGTATCAGGTGCACGTCTTGGGTTACTCTAGTGGCCTTGACGCAGCTGCAAGGACCGCTTGGCCTCTGCCAGGGACTTTCTGCTGGACTCTTGGCAGGTCCGCATTCCATGAAGTTTGCTGGCGTCAATCTGTTCTGGCTCTCTCTGCTCCCAGACCCACCCTGGCTGCTGATTCATCAGTCTCTCCCTTCGGTGGGCTTGCCACTAGGGTGGTGCACCCCTCTAGGGAGAGTCATCGGAAGCTCCGGGGCACCTGTGTGGTTATAAAGCACATTCAATATCATGCCATTGCATTTGGAAGACGGTGAGGACAGCCGGGGCAGAAACACGAATCCGACTGCTTTCCTTAAACAAATCTCAGAAACTTCAGCCATTTTGCCCCAGAGCCCAGTAGAACCCAGGATCCCAGAGACTGCTGGGGTCACTGCCCATAGAGGCTCCCAGTTAAGCTTCTGTGTAACTAACCTCAGACCTCACTTGGGAAGAGTGGCTTCAGGTCCTTGGTTTATTCACTCGCAGTCACTCTGGCTCTGCAGTGAGTGATCAAGACTCCATCCTGTTCCTGGGGGAGCGGTGGGGGGTGGGGAGGTGGGAGGGTGGGGAGAGGGTATAGGGAAGGGGGGCTGGGGGACCAGGTGTTCTACATCACCCTCAGGGGCTGCCTGTCCTGTCCTTCCTTGTCCTTTGAACCCCCAGCAACAAAGGGCCTTGAACAGTGCCGTCTTAAACTTTTGTCCACTGAGCACCCTCGTATTTTAGAGATTGCAGAGTAAACATGATGATTTTCTCAGCCTCGGTTTCCATTTTAGTTGAAGGTCCATTATCTTAGTGTTCTCACCATCTCCCTTCACGTTCCTGTCTCTCCCCACATGATGGTCCCCGCCTGCTTTATCCAGGGCTGTATTACATGCACAGGCATTTTATTTGTCTTGTTCACTGATGCGTCAGTACCTGGAAGAGTGACTGGTACATAATAGTGTCAGTATTTGTTGAAAGAATGAACAAAAAGCATATGCATTGGACCATTAGGTTACGAAGTAGGGGCAATACCCATTTTTTTTTTAAGATTTATTTATTTATTTATATAAGAACCGAGGTACAGGCCAGATGGGCGGGAGGGTGAGAGCATTCACCAGAGAAGCTGGGAACAGAACAGGCAGACTGACGAAATACAGTTCTGAGGGGAGCAGCGGGCGAGACAGGAGAGGTCTGCCGTGCCATGTGGGACCCTTGCTGGCCGGCCAGCCGGCCGGGATTGAACCGGCGCTGCAGAAGCTGCAGACAGCTTCACAGCACGGCGTTCAATTGCCTGCGCCACCAAGGGAGGCCTGCAATACCCATTTTGTTCACCATTCACAAACACACACACATATACACACATGATACACACATACGGCCTGCATAAAGTAGGTACTTCATAAATACTTATTGATACACCCAGTGTACCCCTTCTAGGAATTTATTCTATAGATGTGCTCACATGGTACACATTAATCAGATATTAACTGTATATTAATTAGCATTAATTGCAGCATTGCTGCAAAAACTAAAACTACTGAAGGCTAAGCTGTCCAAGTTAAGTAAATTCTTAGTCCATACATTGGAATACTAGACAGCTATTAAAAAGAATAAAGTGCAGGGGCCTCCCTGGTGGCACAGCAGGTTGAGTGGCGCGCTGTGAAGCTGTCCACAGCCTCTGCAGTGCGGGTTCGATCCTGACCGGCGGGGGAGATTCCCACATGGCTCAGCAGACCTCTCCTGTCTCGCCTGCTGCTCCCCTCAGCTGTGTCTTCAGTCTGTCTGCCTGTTCTGCTCCCTGTTCTGTCTCCCTATTCTCTCACCCTCCCACGCCTCTGACTGTACCCCAGGTCTTGTATAAATAAATCTTTAAAAAAAAAAGAATAACGTACATAAACAGGTTTAATCGAGTAGTCCCTTCCCCACCAAATGGAACTGTTTTTGGTTGCTGAGAACTGAGAGGGTCCTTGTCAAATACTGATCCTCACATCATTCCCACACAGATATAATAAGAACTTTTGTGATACTTTGTATCATCTCAGTCTAGATGGGTAACAAATCAATAAGGCAAGGGTGGATAGGGTCTGAGGTGTCTTCTCATATTGATCTGTTGACCATGATTGGACATTACACAAAAGTTCTGATTTTTTGAAACAATGTGGAGTGTAGTAATTCTTTATTGCATATTACAGGAAGATTTGTGTGACATAAAGGTTTGATTGGAGAATAGGCAGAAAAATGTCACCAAAACAGGAATGGTGACAGAACACATCATTACTGCAATTCTGTGCCCCCCCCCCCAATATTGAACTGGCAGTTTTCTTTTGGTGGATGGAATATATGTATTGATTCCAAACAAAAGTAGTATAGATCCCAGTCCACTCATCTGGGTAAAAAGAAAAAAACAGGAGAGAGTATACCTATGCAGATTCAGAAAGGTATCCAAGATACATTGTGAAATGAAGAAAGCAGCTTAAGAACACCAGATGAATAACAGTGCAAAATAAATATTTTACAATATTTGTACAAAATAAAATGTGTTTGTATATGTCTTGTTTAAGAAACTGTTTTATAGGGCCTCCCCTGTGGCGCAGTGGTTGAGCGCTGGGTTGTGAAGCTGCCCATGGCCTCTGTGGCGCTGGTTCGATCCCCGGCTGCTCCCCGGCCACCGGAGGAGGGTCCCACATGGCGCGCAGACCTCTCCTGCCGCCCGCTGCTCCCCCCAGCAGTGGACTTCAGTCCTTCTGCCTGCTCTGCTCCCCGCTCTGGCTCTGGTGAGTTCTCTCACCCTCCTGCACTTCTGACTGTACCCAGTGCTTGTATAAACAAACAAACAAATAAATAAAAAACATGCCTCTATAAAAAAAAAAAAACAAACAAACTAAAAAACTGTTTTATAATGGTTACCTCTGGGGAGTGAGATGGGAAATATTTCCTTCTCTCCTTTTGGATTTTGTGACGTTACTTTGACGCTTTTTTAAAAAAAGATTTATTTTATTTATGCATACAAGAGCTGGGGGGTAGGCCATTTCAGTTGGCACCATCGGGCTCATTACTAGTTAAGTAGGTGCTTACATGAGGTACCGCTTACCTGGTCAGAGCTGTTAGAGGCTATTCCTTCATCTGCGATGACTGCGTTTACTCTGTTTCCCATCACACCTCTAGCTCTCTAAACACGTATCCTGATAGAGCGAATGAGCGTGGCATAGGGGACCATACATTCGGGGGCTGAATGTGGGACAGGATGGGGAGAGAGCTGGGTAGTGGGTCAGGATGTGGAGTGGCAGGGATGGGGAAGGCCAGATGTGTGCCCTGGGTCCTGCTTCCTCCTCCTCCTTTGCCCTCTGTCCTGGTCTCACTTCCTTCTGGGGCTCAGATTTCTGGTAAGGAGCACCTGTCAGGAAGGGGCGTTAGGATCACCCATTACCGGCTCTCTTCAAAGCTAAGATTCCACAATGCTGCTGTAGTTTCCTCGCTGCCATTGGCTCAACCCATGTATCTTTCCCTCCTCTTTCACTGAGGTGTTCCAAGAGCCTATATCCTTCCTCTGCCCATCCCCCACCTCATGAAACCCCCTGGGACTGAGATGGTTTCTGCCTGATCAGAGGTAGGACTCCTGAGTCAGTGCATTCACACAAGTATGGAAACAGCCAAGGAGACACAAACTGATGTGCAATGACCTCAGAACTTTTTATTGACCTGCTCCCCAAAGGGTGCCCCACTTCTGCTGACTCAGTGCTTCAGAACTTTGGTATCACTGATCTCAGACACCACTTTGCCATCCACAATCCTGCGGGAGGTCTTATGGATGGTTTGCACGGAGTTGCTGTAGTCCAAAGCATCACTGAGTCTGTAACAGAAGACCAAGCCTCAGTTATAAACAGCCCCTCAGAGCAGAAGGGAGACAAAGAGCAAAAAAGGCCCCCCATTCCTACCTTTTTTTTTTTTTAAGATTTATTTATTTATGCATACAGGAGCTGGGGTGCAGGCCAGAGGTGCAGGGGGTGGTGAGAGACAGAGTGGGGAACAGAACAGGTGGATCTGCTGAAATCCACTGCTGAGGGGAGCAGCAGGCGAGACAGGACAGGTCTGCTGCGCCATTTTATGGGTTGCTCTCTGGCCAGCCAGGGATGGAAATGGTGCTGCAGAGGCTGTGGACTGCTTCATAGTGCGGTGCTTAACCCCTTGCACCACCAGGGAGGCCCCAATTCCTATCTTTATGTTTAAATTCCCCTTGGTTGCTTTGCCCATAAAAGAAACTCCATTTGCACTCCAAGGGCTCAAGGTCATCCTTATATTTAATGCATTCTTTTCTCTAGGAGGTAACTTCTGTAAATGTTACTCCCTTGGAGAAGCAGGGGTGTGATAGAACACCAGTTCACAGCTCAGCGCGTACCAAAGAAAAGGCCCATAGTGGGAGGCGCTCCCCAAAACCCAGGCGTTGGGGAGAAGTGATATCCTGCCTACCACGTGTGTTGGTAGGAGGGTCACTTACTTGAAGTCTTCCCCGTCTTCTAGCAGGCGGCGGTAGTGGTTGATCTCAGCCTCCAGCTTGACCTTGATGTTCAGCAGTGACTCATACTCCTGGGTCTGGCGCTGCACCTCTGCCCGGATCTGGGTCAGCTCTGACTCCAGGTGCAGCAGTTCCCCGTTGAGTTGCTCCATCCGAAGGGCGTAGTGGGCCTGCACCTCCCTCAGATTGTCCTCCAAGTTGGCCTTCTGTGGGGACACAGGGAAGAGGGTTGGTGAGCCTTGAGATAGAGCAGAGGGAGTCTGCAACTTTTAGGAGAGCATCCAGAACCCACACCTACTCAATCCTGCACTCTTAGAAACTTTTTTGAGCACCTACTGTGCTCCGGGTAATAGGGTAGGGAGCAGGAGCCGTGGGAATTGCAAAGAGAAACAGAGCGGAAGGAATTGATGGTGGAAGGGGTAGACTTGGGCTGAGCATTGGTTCTGAGACCGGCAGGGGTCAGGGGCCAAAGGAGTTGGGGTGAAGTGAGGGCGCTAACCTGGTTTCTCATGGATTCCAGCTCGATCTCCAAGGACTGGACCGTGCGTCTTAGCTCCGTGAGGGTCGCCTGAGCCTTTCCTACCTCAGTGCTCTGCATGGTGACCACTGTGGTGCTCTCCTCAATCTGTAGAGAGGGGTTGTCATTAGGCCCTTTCTCCATTTGCCTCCATCCCACACCTGTGGGCCTCTGTGCCCAGCTGGCATCCATCCCTTCCCCTCATGCACCTGATGGGACCAGTACTTGTCCAGCTCCTCTCGGTTCTTCTGAGCCAGCTCGTCATACTGGGCCCGGATATCTGCCATGATCTTGCCTAGGTCCTGAGATTTGGGGGCATCTACCTCCACAGTCAACCCAGAGTTGGCGATCTGGATTTGTAGACCCTTTACTTCCTGCAGGAGAGAAGCACAAAAGTGAGGGGGGCTCAGGTGGGAGCTGCAGGAAGGCACTGGGACTCCCTCCTCCTGGGAGGCCTCCAGGATCAGCTGGAAAACAGCTTTTCACTCTGGGCAGTGCCAGTTCTGGGCTTTCTACTCCGGGAGGGTAAAATGCCACCTGCTCACTGCCTATGCCAGCCACTCACAGGTGGTTTCTCCCCTCACCCTGCCCTGGCCCTTTTTCCACTCTGCATCCACGAACCTGTTCCATGTTATACCCTCTTCCAGGAGGCCCTGCCTTTCCCACGGCCTCAGTCCTCCATCATTCCTCACCGCTCGTGCTGGCTGCGTCTGCCTCTGTCCCCATCTCATGTCTCACCCATGTCTTCTCGGCCTCATCACATTGTGACTCAGGTGATTCCCTGAGCAGGCTGACTGTCTGCCTGAGAAGCAACCAGGCTGGTCTAAGCTTCCCTGCTGGGCTACTTGTGGGGACACCTGCCTGCCCCTGTCTGCCCCCACCCAGATTTGTCTGGTGGCCGCTGCCTGGCCAGTAGCCTCTGCTTGCCTCCTCGTGGTTCTTCTTCATGAAGAGCAGCTCCTCCTTAAGAGTCTCGATCTCCGTCTCTAGCTGCAGGCGCATGACGTTGGTGTCATCAATCACCTTGCGGAGCCCATGGATGTCACTCTCCACGGACTGGCGCATGGCCAGCTCCGTCTCATACCTGTGGGGATCGAGATCATCAGAGGGGCCCCAGCTCTGATCCGGAGCCTTCTCAACCCATACCACCTCCTGAGAGCAGCCCTGTGCCCACTGTAAACCAGCAACCTGAGTCAGGGATCAGGTGGAAACCTTCTGAGCACCGTGGTACCCCGAGGACAGTGTTCCTCACCTGAGCTACATGAGCGAATAAAGTGATGGTGCCCAACTCATCCACCCGCAGCTGCAAACATCCCACTATGAGCTCTGGCCTGCCCCAGCCCTCCTCTGACCTTGGTTTCACCCCAGCTTCCTAGCCCCTGCCCCCTTACTTGACTCTGAAGTCATCAGCAGCCAGTCGGGCATTGTCAATCTGCAGAACGATGCGGGCGTTGTTCACAGAACTTTTGAAGATCTGGGGGTTTGTGGAGAGAGGTTACTTGGGGAAAGTTGATGGTTACTTGGTTACTTGAGAAGCTGATGATGGGGCGGGCTTAGTGGAAGCTACCATGCATCTCAATGAAGCCTTCTGGGTCCTGGAAACGCTGAAGTCTCCTGTGTACTGTTCCCTTCCCTCCCTCCTGCCCCCCAACACTGGCCGTTTCTTTCCTGGGCCTCAGTCCTCTTGTTCCTCTGGTCTCCCAGGGCTGGCCAGCCTGGCCGGAAATGAGCCACTGCTAACAAGTTTTCTCCCTGGCCTGCTACTTCTAAGCCACCTGCTCACCCTCTCTGGCTGCCCCCCCCAAACTGGCCCCTCCCACAGGTAGGCCTCCTGTTTATCCTAGATGACTCAGCCTTAGGCACATCCGCTTAACCCTCCAAATGTCCCTCCAACTGTCCCCGCCAGGCCAGGCCTCGGGCTTTGTTTCTGTGCCCCCTCCCTCCCCACTGACTGCTGGGAAAGCCTCCCGCGTTCAGTCAGCACCTTGGGGTGAAATCCAGGCCATTCCTAACCCCCTTCTGGGGAACTGGGACGGGGTAGACGCGGGAAGGAGTCACGGAAGCCCCCCCCACCCCCCCCTACCCCACCCCACGAAACTTCCAGCCTTGGAGCAGGAATTCCTAAGGGGCGGGGAAGCGATAAGGGCGCATGGCTGGGAGCAGGGGCTGCTCGCCCAGCCCCCCTTACCTGAGCCTTCAGCTCCTCGATGGTGTTGAAGTAACGGCTCCAGTCTCTGTCCTGGGGCCCCTGCTTGTCCAGGTGTTCCCGGATTTTGCTCTCCAGTCTCTGGTTTTCCGCCTCCAGGCTCCTCACCTTCTCCAGGTAGGAGGCCAGGCGGTCGTTCAGCTCCTGCATGGTCTCCTTCTCGTTCTGGATGCTCCCCATGCCCGCCAGAGTCCCGGCCACGCCCGAGGCCAGGCCTCCGGACCCCCAGCTGCTCCGGTACCTGCTGACGCTGGACCGGGAGATCCGGGAGCCGGAGCCGCCGGCGCCTGCATAGACGCTGGCCGCGCTGCTGGCCGGCCGGGCCCGGAGGCTGGGCGCCCGCGCGGAGCCCAGGGACCGGTAGCTGGTGAAGCTGGAGCTGGCGGTGAAGCTCATGCTGCGGCGGCGGGAAGGCGAGAGGCGGGAGTCAGGCTGGGGCTGCGGTCGGTGTCGGGTCGGCGGCGCGGCTCAAGTTTTATCTGGGAGGGGAGTGGCGGGACGGCGGCCCGGCCCCGCCCTCAAACAGGCTCGAGCTGGGCTACAGGTGCACCGCGGAGGCGGGCAGGTGGGGATCGCTGCCTCCGGATGCCGGCCCTCCCAGCCCCTCTCCCCCTCCCCCTGCACGGTCCTGCCCAGACCACCCTCTGTCCCCTAGAGAGGGGCTGGTTAGCCTGGACCAACTGAGGGCAAGGAGGGGGGCTGTTGGCACATGTGGCTGTGGTTTCAGGGCAGGAAGTGACGTGAATAGTCCCCGCTCCCCTAGGCAGAGGAGGTGCTGGCAGGTGGAGAATCTGAGGCCTTGGGGGAATGAGCAAATGGAAAGGGAGTTAGCCTCCATAGCCGGCCTCAGTCTGCTACCCACATTCTCCACCTGCAGAGGGGACCTGGGAACCCCAAGAGTCCTGGGGAGGAAAAGTTGAGTACTGGAGAAGAGGGTGAGAAACTCAATCTTGAACCCCAAATCTGCTCTTTTACACACTTGACCCCACCACACTTGGTTCCCACACTCGGCAGGCAGGCACGTGTCTCCTGGAGTCCCCACCTTGTCAGAGGATGCATGTGAAACACACACACAGTCATGTACCAAGTGTGATCAGACTCTTGAAAAACAAACTCTCACTGAACCCCCTTCCCACCCATTCCCCACCCCCTCGCATCTCACTCCCAGGGTGCCTGGCCTTGGAGAACACTTTGCTGTTTGAAAACATGGCACACCCTCACTTATCTTATATCGCCCTTACCTCCCTCCTCCCCGAGCACATACAATTCAATATCTATTTTTTTGGGTAACTGCTGTGTGTCAGGTCCTGTACTAGTTGCTGGCAGGACATCAGTGCTGGCAGGACATCAGTGAATGAAAGAGAACAAAATCCCTCCTGGAGATTGTAATGTGTCCCATGTGGTCTGGGGCCTAAGAGGACAGAGAAGCACATGGAGAAACCTTTTACCCAAGATCCAGCCCCTGTGCCAGCCCCGGTGCCAGCCCCTCCCCCCCACACACTAGGACATTTCACTGGGTTCCCTTACTCCCCTGCATCACCTCATAAGGCTCTTTCCATCCCAAGCCTATCCCCAGGAGGCTGCCTCCTCCAGGAAGCTCATGTCAGGATATGGTTAAGAAGGATGGAGTTAGGGAGGTTCCCAGTACTCCCTGCACCCCAGAAGCTGGATGACCACCACCCATGCTAAATGAATGGGAGAATTGGGAAGGCACCAGGAAGTCAAGTCTGTCATTACCAGCAGCTCCCAGCTCTGGTCTGTCCAGCAGGTCTGACCTAACTTGCATCCGTGCTCTTTGCTCTGGAGTGGACCTATTGATTCTTACTGAGCTGCCAGCTGAACTGAGGCCATGGGGGAGACAGGAGAGTAGGGCTGGGTGGGGAAGGGACCTGGGCCAGTGGACCAGCCAGTTAGGAGGTGCAGCTCAGATGGGAGGTGGGAGGATTTGGTCCCTACCTAGATTATCCCAGGCCTGCTACTCTCTGGAGGGGCAGCCTCTCTATGCTTAATGGAAGCTGGCCAGGGGCAGGTCAGGGTGGGAGCTGGCCAGGGGCAGGAGCTGGCCTGAAGGCCAAAAGGCAAATGGGATACAAAATAATATACAAATGAATGCCACTCATTTTGCATGGAAGTTTCTGGGAGATGAGAGGTGCCAGCCAATCAAAGAGATTCCTCCTCCTTCCCTCCTCCCCATTGGCTTCCAAAATTGTCATGTTGTGTAGAATTGCACAATAAAGAATGTAGATTAAACATGTGATGTGTTGTCTTCGCTGTTTTTGCCAAGCTTGGAGTTAGCTAACTTGAGTACTTTAGGGAAGTCGGTAACTGAACTTCAGTCTCTTCATTTGTAAAGGGAGAATAATAAGGCCCGTCCAGTCTATCTCCTTGTGTGCCAATGAGTGTGAATTATCACTCAATTACTCATTGAATGAATACGAATTAATGTAGAGTAAGACCCCAACACATCCAGGAGGGCAAAGGTGAGGGGGGTCAGTTTAATTGTAAAGATGACTCAGGGGTGTTGAGTCTTTCTCCAAGTCACTTAAGACCTCCAGGGGACTTTGAATTCCACTAAGGATCAGGCCCAGATCCCAGGATTCTTAACAAAGCTCCTTTCCAGATCCTTCTATGATCCTATCCCACCCCCAATTGCTTGGAACTTCAGGGGCCTGGGGAGGTTCAGTCTGGGGCGGGAGGGGGAGCTGCCAACGGGTCTTATCTCCCCCAGCTGATGTCGGAGGCCGCATTCCTGACCTCTTGCAGCACAGGGCAAATACCAACCGCGGGCTTCCAGCCCCAGCCTGCTCTGTTCCACCACTTCCAGATTCCTCAGTGTTGGGGACCTTCATTCAGTCTGAGACTCTAGCTGAGCTGGGGAAGAGGCGAGAAGTAGGAATTTCCACCCCTAGATTCCCAGCACTGGGATGTGGAGTGGGGTGGGAGACGGGGAAGGGGAAAGAATGTGAGGTCGGTGCTGGGAGAGGTCGGAGCTGGAGGGTCCTTGGCGAGAGGCTTTTGGGGGACAAAGACAACAGAGGTGTTGTAGAATAAAGTGACTCAGCAGTGGGGAGTCCTGAGCAGGGGAAATGGCTCCCTCCCCCACCCCCAACGGCCCTGGAGTCCCATGTCCTGTCCTGCTGACCAGAGCCCGAACCTGAGAGGCAGGTTTAACGCCTGAGTCAACTCAGAGATGACCCTGATAAGGTGGGTCAGCCCTTTTCTCCCCCTCCCCACCTTCTCCCAAGGCAGGCTGCAGCCCACAGCTCCGGGGAAACCAGATAGTGGGAGATTAGGCCTTCAGGGAAGATTAGGAGGGCCTGAAATCCTTCAGGTTTTGTGTTATCATTTTCGCTGGAAATTTCTGACTCAACCCTGAAGAGGGAGGTGCTTAGATCAACAACTGAAGTGTGTGTGGGGGGGTGTCTTTAGCTGATTCCCATATCTTGTTAAGAGTGATCCCTGAAAGGACTTCCACAAAGCGTAGGGGTATGTTGGGAAAGTGAGAAGGCCTGATGCTGGGAAGGCTGGAGGCAGGAGGTGGCCAGAGGATGACTCCTCTCAGCAATCCTGGGGGCGCTGTTAGGGGACTGGGGTGGAGGGGGGGGCTGCCCAGTTGGGAGCAGAACCATAGAGGAAGGGAAAGACAGAGGAAAAGGCATCTGCGGCAGAGTAGGAATGTGCTGAGCCCTGAAACTGGCATATGGGGGAGCTCTGAAAATTATTTTGATTTAAAAAATGAATGAGGGCCTCCCTGGTGGCGCAGGGGGTGAAGATGCAACCTATGAAGCTGTCTGCAGCCTCTGCAGCATGAGTTCGATCCCCTGGCCAGCCAGGAAACTACCCACATGGCGCAGCAGACCTCTCCTGACTCACCCACTGCTCCCCTCATCAGTGTACTTCGGTCAATCTGCCTGTTCTGTTCCCCACTCTGTCTCTGCTGAATCCTCTCACCCCCCACACCTCTGGCCTGTACCCCAGTTCTTGTATGCATAAATAGATAAATCTTAAAAAAAAAAAAAAAAACAGCGAAGTTCAAGGTGTTAGGAGGCCAGGTGTTGGTGTGTTTGGGAGTCAATAGCTGCAAGGGGCCCTGCATGGCAGCTGTCCCTCCCTCTCTGGGTCGTGCTGCCCTGTTATCATCTGAACAGAGTTCACTTAAAGTTTTTCCGATACTTTCCATTGTGTTCCTGCTCCTATTTTGTAAGGTGGTAGTCAGCTTTTCCCGCAGGGTTTTCTGGCTTTGTTTCACATGAGTTCTGTTGTGTGTGTTCGGAGGAGGGGAGCCCTGCCTCTTTGCTGCATCTTCCTGTGATCTCAGTTTGCATTTTTCTTTTTAATGATGTGCTATTTTTTTGTTTTTTTTAAAGATTTATTTATTTATGCATCCAAGAACTGGGGTACAGGCCAGAGGTGTGGGGGGTGAGAGGATTCGCCAGAGACAGAGCGGGGAACAGAACAGGCAGACTGACTGAAATACACTGCTGAGGGGAGCAGCGGACGAGTCAGGAGAGGTCTGCTGCGCCATGTGGGTAGCTCCCTGACAGGGGATCAAGCTTGTGCTGCCACCACGAATAGTTTCATAGGCTTCATCTTAACCCCTTGTGCCACCTTCATAGGCCCCCTCAGTTTGCATTTTTTAAGGAATTTGTCCATTTCATCCAAGTTGTTAAATTTATAGCTACCAAGTTTGTTCAAAATATTTCCTTATTAACCTTTTAATGTCTGTGGGGTTCATACGGGTATCCCCTCTCTCACCACAGTTTGTTCCCACTGTCTTTCCCGGCGTGAGGTTTATCAATAGTTTTGATCTTTTAAAAAAAAATCATCTTTTGGTTTCATTGCTTTCTTCTACTGTTTTTCTGTTTTTAAGGTCATTGATTTCTGCTTTTTAGTTGATTATTTCCTGTCTTTTTCTTGCTTGTTGTTTTGTCCCCTCCATTTTATTTATTTATTTATATTTTATTTTATTATTTTTTATGAATTATTTTATTTTATATCATTCTTACATCATTTTTCATTTTTGCACAATGTATGCATTTTCATTTTGGTTATAGTCCCCATATAATTCCCACCCCCACCCCCTTATTTTGACCCTAATCCTTGCTCCCCCCTTATCCCTGCAGTGTGTCTCTGGTTTATAGTTGCTTGTTGATTTTGATTTTTACTTTATTATAATTAGTCTTTTTCCTGGTCCCTTATTTAGGTTTTCTAGATTCCTGCTATGAGTGAGACCATCCGGTATTTTTCTTTTTCTTTCTGGCTTATTTCGCTGAGCATGATCCCTTCCAGCGCCATCCATGTTGCTGCAAATTGCATGAGTTTATCTTTTTTGAATGCTGAGTAATATTCCATGGTGTATATGTACCACATCTTCTTGATCCAGTCATCTATTTTGGGGCATTTGGGTTGTTTCCATAGCTTAGTTATTGTAAATAGTGCTGCTATAAACA